ATTCGAACTCAGAGGCTCATATGGGCCTACGATGATTCTATCAGATAATCTGGACTTTAGCTATATAGGGCTTTATAATAACAACCAGCACTTTGAATTGTGTCCATAAACAGTAGTGAAGGAATTGTATGTTCCTTGCAACCAGGCTCAGCTCTTTTTCTGTTTTTCTCTCTTGTTGAAGTGAGCTACTTTAATTCTGACTCAGTATAATGTAGTTTCATATGTTTAATCCCCCTGGATGATACTGTAAATATCTTCGTTAGGGGTGGCATCTTGTATATTATGTTTTCCACGGATGCTCTCAACAATAATGGCCAAATGAGGATTCATAGATTGTGGCTTGAAGGCACTGGCAGTGTACTATAATTCCATGATCTGCATCTCAGTCATCATGCCAGGGTTGAGAAATCAAGTATTGGGGCAGAGTCTGTTGCCTCATTGAGGCTAATTCAGTTTGGATTATACAGACAACATACCACGACCTGCCACATCATTAGAGTCATAGACACGTGGCCAGCAAGCTGAATAAATGATTTCAACATCCCACCACACATGGAAACATCAGAACACTCAGGGTAACTTGGTCAGGATATACACGGAAAGATGGCTGAGACATCTGTGTCTTTAAATGTAGGGAACACTATATAAGATGTCACAGCCCCAAACTTATTTTATTTAAGGTACATATTTACTGGCTGCCTGGCATGAACAGAGTTGCTGTGTTTATAGTAATAATCCAGAATTGCAGAGAAACTTAGCTTATTGTTCATGAGTCACAGGCTGGCATGTGCTGCCCAGTTCATACCACTTTTCTCCTTACAGCAAAGAAAAGCTTCATGTTGCAACATGGGATAGTGGTTTGAGCATTGGACTATGACTCTGGACACTTGGGTTTGATTCCCAGCTGGGCCATAGAATGCACTGGGTGGCCTTTGGTATGTCACATGCTCTCAGCCTCGAGAAGGCAATGGCAAACCTCCTCTCGACAAAACTTGCCAAGAAAAACCCATAGGTTTGCCTTAGGATCACCATAAGTCAGAAGCAACCTGAAGGCATACAGTCCACCACACACACACACACACAGTTCTTGGTTTGATGCTTCGGCGCAAACCAAGGATTAAAAATAAATGACATGGCTTGGCTTCAGACCCTGGCTTGTTAGAGGAGAATGATAGGGTCCCATGGTGGCAAGAGATGAGTCTCGATGGTGTGGGTATCATTGCATGAGAGAGGTGGTAAATTCCTCCCTACTCATGACCACACAAAAAAGCCATACATTGAATTTAGCCATTTGCCACTGACAGAAAGAACAAAATGGAAGCAGGCAGACAACGGGTACACGTATGTTGCTTTTGAATATTAAACCAGAAATTTTTTTGGTATTTAGGATTATAGTTGCATGCAAACAGTAATGCCAATGATTTTTCAGTGGGCTAGGACCTGTACCCTCCCTGTGTTGGCTTTCAACATGCTAGCATTCCTCCCCACACACACACACAATGTATTTCTAGTTTGTAAAAAAGTTGGAATTATAATTGGGTTGCAAAGCTGTCTCAACCATTTCTCAGTTTTTGAAACAGCTGGTACAACTTTTTTCTCCACCTCCCATTGAAAAATGTAGATTGCTACAGCTGTCAAGTGATCTTTTATTTTGACAGTTTGAATTTGTAAGTGTTAGGAAGCTATTCTGTGTTGAGAAAGGTATTGATGTAAATGCAAACCCACACTTTAGTGAGAAGTAATTTGATTCATTTTCTTGTAAAAAGACTGCTTGCATAATTGTTATCTGAAGTGCCTGTTCTCTGGAGTGTATTGAATTGACCCTTGTAGAACACTTGACAGCAAATATGCTCCATTTAACAAGCCACTTGGTAAACTAGGAAAATGATAGATTTGCAACTAAAACCTCTGGAAAACTCAGTAGCTGCAAATGTGGGGTGTCAGCTGTGGTATCCGAAGTTACTCAGTTATAACCTGGAAATTCCACCTTCCCTTTTTGTGTGTGTTTTCAGAGACATCTTACCCTCATGGATATCAATATTTTCCTATTGCTGAAGTAGAATGGACACGTAGTTATTTTATAGATGCATCTCTGAGCATCAGTGATCTATGGATAGTTTTGTTTTGGCAGGTGGATTTCCATTTGTAAACGTCACAGATGGCATTTCATAAGTGATATTATATATAAATCAGTATGTTTGGTAGAAAATCCTGTATCCAGTGCAGGTTTACCCATATTGTTATAGAGTTCACAAGATATTGGAAAACTCTAATAGATTTCCTGCTCCTGGGAATAGTTTGAATCAGGCTCTCCTTTGGCCATTTGAAAATGAATAAAAGGTGGAAGGGGAAATAATGGAACGCCTAATGGTATGGAGTACTTTTTACAGCAGCTTGTTGAGATGTTTTGGACTATAGGTTCCATCATCCCCAAACAACATGAGGGATTATGGGAGCAAATGTCTGAAATCCGAGGGAGGGAGGGAGGAAAACATGTGGAAGAGGGTTGTTCTAGAGCAGTGCTTCCCAAGCATTTTGGACTTCAACACCTAGGATTCCTGGACATTCATTATAGTGGCTGGGGCTTCTGGGAGCTGAAGTCCAAAATACATGGAGAATCAAAGTTTTGGAATCTCTCTTCTAAAGGTTTGAGATTAAACACAAAACACCTGGGGGCTCGACTGCTGGATTTCTAAAATTCAACCCTCAAACAGTGTGTGTATTTATATATACGGTACATATATAAATGTGGTTTTGGATTGCTGCACCCATCAGCTGTAGCCAACATAGTCAATGGGGAGAGAGCAGTGTCTGGAGGGGGCCCTACAGCTTAGGTTCAGACTATCTGAAAGCTTGTATCTTTCCATATGAGTCTGCATGGGTCTTGCAATCTTCAGGGAAGGACCTTCTCTTGGTCCCCCCACCATCACAGGCATGTTTTGGCAAGGACACTAAACACTGGCCAAAATACTCTGGGATGCAACTCTGAATCCTCCGAATCCCCACCACCACTACCACCAAATTTGCCCTGTTACCTGTGCTTTCTTCTTAGCAATGATGGGCAGCTGCCTTCCCATGAGATTCCTGTTCATAGCCCAGTGCTGCTGCTGAGATCAAACAAGGTGCCAAACCATATTCTGGGCATCTTGTTCTGACCTCAGAGTAACTCGCACCCACAACCGTGCTGCAGGGTAGCTTGCAGGGGACTACTCGGGAAGGTAGCCACTTGTCATCGCTGCAGAGAGAGCTGAAAACCCAGAGCAAAACGTAAGGTTTTTAAATTCTGGTTAAGAGAAAGGAAGGCTAAATCAGGTGCAGACATCGTGAAGACAGTCTGCATCTGATTTGGGGTTTTGTCCCTCCGTCATACAAACAGGATGCAGTGGGCCTGGGGGGAAATTTAGAGTAAATAACCCATGTAGACAACCCAAAGAGCCTTCTTTGTGGCTGCTCCTAGGCTTTTGAACTCCATCCCGAGAGAGATTCAGTTTGCCTCCTTTTCCCATTCTTTCGCTTTAAACAGGACTTCATCCATAGTGGACTAGAGTGGAGGGATGTGCAGCCAAGTGTGCTGCTTTTGGTATGTGATGTGTATTTTAAGTGTTTTAATTGTTTTAATTCTTAATGTTTTAAAAGTTGTATTTTAATTGGATGCATGGTTTAATGCTTTTTAAACATTCATACACCATATTGTTTGAGATGTTCTGTTTTAGTTTATCTTGTGAAGCCCCTTTGAATCCCATTTGGGGAAAAAGCCAGATATAAATTTTCCCCCCACCATACAAATTCTTGAATATCCATCACACATACCAGTGACTCGATACAGGTTGAATCTCCCTTATCCGGAATTCCAAAATACCCCAAAAGTGACCACACAGGTGGGTGAGAGAGTGACACCTTTGCTTTTTGATGGTTTGAAAGTGTACACAAACTTTTTTCATGCACAAAATTACTAAAAAAGTTATGTGTAAAATTACCTTCGGACTATGTTTATAAGGTGTATATAAATAATAAATGAATGTCCTGTTTAGACTTTGATCCCATCTTTAAGATATCTCATTATGTATATGAAAATATTCCAAAAACCAGCAAAAACCTCAAAATACTTCTGGTCCCAAGCACTTTGGATAAGGCTCAACCTGTATATGGCAACTTCACGTATCTGTGGTTAAGGCCAGCCATTCCCAGCCTGGTGCCTCCAGATATTTTGGACTACAATTCCCATCCTCCCCCACCAGAATGGGAAAAGTTAGATTAACCAACCAGTTAGATTAAGCATACAAGCTGAGGGAGTTGTTACATGAAATTTGTAAAAAAATTTGTTGGAAACCCCCCCCCTCCCCATTTGTGCCCTGGAAAATATTTTGTCATATATATTGATTGGCGTATTCCTTTATCCTTTAAAATAACCATAAAGAGACGTGAAAGGAAACTTAGTATGCTGCAGTTGTAACGGTGGCTACTTATAACGCATGCCTTTCATACAGGGTAGATTGTTAAGAACCAGATATCTGATTGTTTTCCCTCTTTGTTTTTGTTGATGGAAACAATAGAGGCTTCATAAAGCCATGAGGAGAAACAACAATACAAGAAATCTTGTGACTGGATGATGATAGTGGTGGTATGGGGGCAGTTCTGGGATAACTTCCATTCATTTTGAGATGCTACGGATGGGATGTGACAATCTGCAACTTTCTTGCATTAGATCAGAGCTTGGAAATGTTGCCTTTTTGAGTCACAACTCCCCAAATTCCATACCCAGCTAGCATATTGTTGGGCATAATGGGAGGAGGGAAGTTTCTGGAAATTGTAGCCCCTCAAAAGGATCATTTCCAAGTTCTGGATGCTATTACTGTCAGAGCTTTTTGCTCCCTGTGCTCAAAATTAAATTAAAATTCTGCACCATTAAAATAACTTACATTATCTTTTAAGTTTTTGTGTAGCCTTTCAAGATATCAGCTGGCATCCTGATATGCAATTATGGTATTGTAAGCTGGAGAGCCAGTGTGGCGTAGTGGTTTGAGTGTTAGATTACAACTCTGGAGATCAATGTTCAATTCCTAGCTCGGCCAGGAAACCCACTGGGTGACCTTGGGCAAGTCACATGCTCTCAGCCTCAGGGGAAGGCAATGGTGAACCTCCTCTGAACAGATCTTGCCAAGAAAGCCTTGTGATAGGGTTGCCTTAGGGTAACCATGAGTCAGAAACGACAACAACTACAAAGTGGACCTAAGTCCTAGTAACTGCTTTGCACTCACATTTGCAATTGTGGCATCATTACCACAATTGCAAATGCTCTTGAAACCTATTTTAAAAGCCAGTCAGCTGTCCTGAATGCTGATGTTTTGTGGTGTTGGCAAATGGGGTGCTGCAGGATGGCATAAACATTTTCCCTCCTGCCAGCAAGTAATGTTGTGAGGAGTCAGGACCCTTGCCAGGTCCTGTTGCAAGTCTTTGTCACACTGTCAGTTGCTGGCAGACAGGGGACTTGCCATAATCACAGAACTCGGTTGCTTAGGACAGTCTACTGGCTTGCAGGGTGGGTTTCAATGGTCATATCAGGAGATTAAATAGAGCTCCAATATGTAGCTACACCTCCATTGCATGATCTTGCCAATTCTTTCAAATAACTCTTTAACCCATATTATTTTAGATATTTGCATCTTGCTTGGCCATCAGGAGAAGCAAGCAACTATGGTACACTGAAATTCTATCCCATTCCTCTGGAAATGCTGTATAGCTGCTCTTTTCAAGCCAGTCATCAATCATAAGGGCTAGAAATCAGCTTTTTAAAGAAGCTGAAGATCCAAAATGAGGAAGCTGAATTATTGAAAACCACATAAGAAAAATTTGCTGGTTCAGACGAAAGGCCTTTAATCCAATATGTAGGAGGCATCAGCTAAAGAAAACCCATAATGCATGGATCAGGATATTTTTCTTTGTGCTGGTCTGTGACCATAATGAAAATTCTATAGGATGTTTTCTTAAAACATTTTTTGTATCTTTTGATGTTTCAGACTTTGGTGTTAGTGCTTTTTTAGCCACTGGTGGAGACATTACTCGAAACAAAGTGAGGAAAACCTTTGTGGGCACACCTTGCTGGATGGCACCTGAAGTGATGGAGCAGGTAAAAAGAAACAAAAAATTCTGAAAATGAGATTGACACTAACCTTTGATGTTCTGGCTGGCCTTTTTCCTTGAAGGATTTTTTAAAAAATTAAAAGCTGCAAGTCATTGTTGGCGGGAGGGGATGCTGGTTATGAACAGAGTGAAAAGGGATTGGGAGAGAAGAAGATTAAATATCAAACATGAATGCAAGTAATCAGATGGAGGAGAGAGTGAAATAACCATAATTAGTGAAAGATCTGTAATCAAGAAAGCAAAAGCTTAAGTTAGACTGATTTAATTATGAATCTGAAAATAATTTCCCCTTGAATTATTTTATGGGAATTATAAGGAAAAGAAAAGGTTTGAGGAAATAAATAAGACCTCAAGAGAAACAATAAAACCTTAAACATGATGGGAGACACTAATACATGTGTCTAGGGCTTGTTCTCATTGGAGGAATCGATGTCAGGAATACCTGTTCAAAGAGGTTTTGTACTTGTCTTAAAACTTCCTCCTTATTTTAATGCACTCTGGATAATAATGAGTTGGCACAGTTCATCAGATGTACTTTGTTCCATAGTTAATCATCAGCAAACTGTACAGGTGTCCCTCCATTTTCGCGGACTTGGAGTCCGCAGTCTTGCCTGTTTGCTGGCGGGGAGGGACACAATGGATAAAATGGGGTGCATGCAGTCACTCATCACCATTCAAGCCAATGGGGCTTGAATATTGGCGATTTCCCATTTTCACAGTGGGGTTCGGAATGGATCCCCCTCGAAAACAGAGGTGTGATGGTAGTTTATGCACTAGTTCCATCTCTGCAGTGGAGATATCTAAATGAGAAATGAATTTTTGAAATGCACATTTGTCTCATTCACATTTTATGTTTGTTAGGCATCTGTCTATGAATCCATCTGTAGATATATTCAAGAAATGTGGGCATGCAATTTTAGAATATGGTGATACTGGGGGAAGGGATGATTTGCTTTTCTATCTCATCTCTATAAAATGTGAATCATACCAGCCCAACTTGACTGGGAGAATAAAACAAGTAAAGACTGTGTGTCACATAGCACATTTAAAGTGCTGCATTAATATTTCGAAGTGAGGAGGAAAGATATTTTCTTGATAGTTACGAAAAGCTTTTCTATCTAATTTCATGGTGCTGGATGGTACCAAAATGAAAGAATTGTTCCCAAAGCATTGTTGTGTTAGCAAAGTAACAGGCTCCTGACATGGTTTTAAATATTTTATTTTTCCACTGAGTCCAGAAGCAATTCCTTGTTTAATTCCAAAAAAGTTGAGATAGCTTAACACTCAATGAAGAGAATATTCAGTGTCCTTTCTTTTGCAGTTGAGAGAGAAAATAAAAATTCTGTTTAAGATTCCAGGTAATAGTCTAATGCAGGGGTAGGCAACCTTTCCCCTTTAAGGGCTGAGGGACTTCAGCTCCCAGAATCCCAGGAGCTATTGGCCAACATGGCTGAGGCTTATGGGAGCTGAAGTCCCTCGACTCTTAAAGGGGAAAGGTTGCCTACCCCTGGTCTAATGCCAGAGATGAAATGGCTTATTTGGAATATGAACAGTTTCTCCTTACAGTGAACAAAGGCAAGCTTTGATGTATGATCTAGACTAACTTAAATAGTTGTTGGGATGAATGGGTAATGCAGGAGGTGGATAGCTTGAGATGTAGGATGACTGATGACAAATGTGCTGTTAATACACTCTGTAACTTTGCAGGTCAGAGGCTATGACTTCAAAGCAGATATCTGGAGTTTTGGAATCACGGCAATTGAGCTAGCTACAGGAGCAGCTCCTTATCACAAATATCCACCCATGAAGGTGAGTGTAACTGATTGGCTGGCCCAAACAGTTGAGCTAAACCTCTTGAAAGCACATTGTCTCCAAAGTGCTGTCTCTGAAGTAAGTGAAAGCTTGCAAGTGGAGGCTAGTGGACGTTTCCTCTTTCTATGCAAGTGTGGGAGTTTGAATTTCAACATGAAGGAAGGAAGCCTGCAGCCAGAAAACAAACCTCATATCTGAATACAAAACCAGCAATTACATACTGTATATACATCAACACTGTGGTCTTCAAACTCTGTTTTAGGGAAGTGTGATGTCTCCCTAGAAACTAATCTAAGAATCATCTCTCTGAGAAGATTGGTTATGGGGGGATTATGATGATGTGTGAAATTTCCCTGAGAGATTTCACCCATTCATTTCACATCTTTTGCTGTAGCATTTGGTTTCTTAGGTACACAACAGCTTGGTCCTTCTTTATCCTTCTTTCTCAACTTCTGGGCTTCTTAAAGCAGCTAACATTTGTAAGATATAGCACAGCTTCAATTAAAATGAATTTTTAAAAAAATTATGAATTGACCACCATGAGGAGGACGTGAATTATCTCATCATCTTGCACCATTTCCTCAAGCCTAACCAAATCAGGCTCTGGGCCAGTCAAAGCAGACAGCGCTTCGAAAGTGTTCTCTTTGCAATTCCATAAAACTAAAATCTGGTAGTGTTAATTCCCCCAAATGACCTTAATTCCATAACTGGTGTTTGTTGTTCATGGTGTTCAGGTTCCACCTGACTGAGCTGGCCTTTCACCATTTTCCATCTTAACATTTCTGTTTCTCAATAAAATTATTTTTAAAAAATCTGTTTTTCTGTCTTGCATTTGAAAGCCTAACATAAAAAACAAAAAAGACAACCCAAAACCTTAGTACCATTTTTTTCATAAGATTGTGATAGGGCTTGAAACCATTCCCTCTAGAACAGAAGCTGATGTACAGAGGATTTGTGCAAAACAAAGAAGAAAACCCAACACCCCTCCCCATTTATATTCATGTACGTGGAGGAGAGGATGCACCGTGTATTGAATCTTCATTTTTGGCACCTGCTTATCTTGCAATCTGTACCAAAGGGAATGGCACTCAGGAATACAAATAACACCAGTGGTTAGTCCCAACTAAAGTTGACTTGTGGAATCAGTGAGCTTTGCTAAATCAGCACTTATGTAAGTTCCTTGGATTCAATGGGTCTACTCTACTTGGAATTAATAGTTGGGTTAAACTCCATGTACTCAGTGACTTACTGATCTAGGGGTGGAATAAGGAAACATGGTAATGGGTGGTAGAATTGAGCAGGTCAGGGCTGGATTGCCTATGGTCTCCTAGATACTGTTTGAATCCAGCTCTCAAAGTTCCTAACCACTGACTGTTGGCTAGGTGTGATGGGAGTGGGAGTCCTACAACATCTGGACAACTATGAGTTCCTCGGCTCAGGAGCAGATGGGGTTCTGCCACATTATATTACAGCTCCCATTTACAAAGTTATCTCCTGGGACTTCCACAATTCTACTTGATCCAGTTTCTCCTTGTTGCGACAGAATTTGAGATATGTGGCTTGTGGGGTGGGTTGAGTAGGCAGTGGGAGATGCAGAGGAGGAGGAAGAACTGCTGTTCCTTCCATTTATTGGTCAGATCTGAACATCAGACTTAAATAAGAGATACCTTATCAACAGATCTCCTCTTCTGCAACCAGCATGCAACTAATTAACCATCACAAGAGGGAAGTTATCAGCCGGTAAGTGTAGTTAAATGAGAATTGTCATAAGTAACTTGAAGAGAGGCCACAGTAGATAGTTCACATTTGTCCCCCTCTTTTCCTTAATTAGTTTCCCCTTCAAAATTTTGCAGCAGTGTTTCCTTAGAATAAATGCAGAAGCAGTGCAATTTTGGAGAATACGTGGCTTGAAACAGAATGCTGCCCCTATACTCTGTACTCTGTTGTTGACTTTAACTTGTATGTGTTTTGCAGCTTATGGGGTGCAGTGTGAAGGATGTGTTGGGCATCACAGCCATTACATGGATAGCTTCTAGAAACTCAGTGCTACAAGATGGGTGGGGTGGGTATGTGTGTCTCTGTCTCCTTCCCCAGTTTTTGCTTAATGCCTCATAGACTC